AAATAATTCACTCAATAGAAGAGTGTGGTGGGTTAATTTATGTCAGTTGTATTTTACTTAAATGTGGTTATTTCATAAAGTAATTTTTTTTTTTTTTGTACTAGGGTTTGAACCCAGGGATACTTAACCATTGAGCCACATCCTCAATGATTTTTTTTTTTTTTTTTTTTTTTTTGAGACAGGGTCTTGCTAAGTTGCTTAGGCCCTCTCTAAGTTGCTGAGGCTGGCTTTGGAAGAACCAAACTTGTGATCCTCTTGCCTCAGCCTCCTGAGCTGCTGGGATTACAGGCATATGCCACCATGTTTAGCTGTAAAGTAGCATTTTTACATCCAGAAGTGATAATGACTTTTTTTCTCCAGTCCTCAAAGAAGTGAATTTAACTCATTAGCCTGAATTTTACTTGGGTTATCTTCTATATACATTTTGAGATACAAGCAAAATTTGAATCTCTTATTTAGCCAACATTGTTTAGGCTTTCATCTKCCAGCCAGTGACAATGCTGAAACAAAATAAGTGAGTTTTTGTCCTCAATATGTTCATACTGTGGTTTAGAAAATATACAAAGAAGCAGAAAGTGTTGATAGGCAGGTTTCACCAGTTAGTTGCTACAGTAATTGAGAAAATGGGTGACTGAGGTAAATATTGAAGGACTAATAAAACTGTTAGAACATGTTCTAAGTTAAAGGGAGGTAGAAGGTAGATACAGGTAGATATTTGTAGTTTATCACGTGGAAGCAAAACTTAAAGCATAGAAGTACATGTTAGGATAACCATTATAAAGTGATCATTCATAGTTCTGGAAAGGACAAATTGAGAAGATAGTAAGTTTGAAAATGSAAAAGTTAAGAGTAATTTAGGTTGACAGTTGGAAATAAGTATGTTGGTGCCATTTTTTAAGAATATAGAATTGAAAATAATAAGTAGGTTTCAGGTAGGGCAGGAGATAAATAGAATTTAGGCAACAATATACTGAGTTTTTAGAATTTGTGAAATGTGGTACAATAGGAATAGGAATAGGTAGGTTTTTGGTAAGTACATTTTCTGTGGATTTTGGGGAAAGAAGTCACTATAGTAGATTGAGGGTTAAATTGAAGAAGCAGAAGAATATCAATATATGTTATTTTCTGAATAATGGTTCTTAATGCTTCAATATTAGCTATTATGACTACTAAAAGTATATTCTTTTATGCCATGCCATACTTTCTTTTTATCTCCAGCTTTTTTTGTTGTGATTTTGTTATGTATAAGTATTACATAAATTCTGACCTTGAAGTATGTTTTATGAGGAAGCGCACTCTCCCTATCCATGGATTCTGCATCCACCCATTCAACTAACCCTGAATCAAAATTGTTTTTGAAAGAAAACATTTCTATACTAAACATGTACATACTTTTTTTTCTTGTTGATCACTAAACAATATAGTATAGCACCTATTTACACAGCATTTGCATTGTACTAGGTACTGTATAATGTAGAGATGATTTAAAAATACAGAAGGATATGCATAGGTTATATAGAAAGACTGCCATTTTATATAAAGGACCTGGGCATCTGCAGATTTTGGTATCCTTAAGGGGTCTTGGAACCAAGTTCTCTGTAGAGAAATAACTACTGATTTTAACTATTATAATTGCCAAACTAATGAAAACAAGTTGTTACAGAAATTTTAAAAAAGAAAACTAGGAAATTTTTCATTGTGAATAGGTTATTGTTCCTCTAAAAAGGTATTTAGCAAGTTCCTGTTTTAGTTTATCAAGAAAATAATTTTATTTGCAGATTTTAATTTAAAAGAATAGGGTATTGTAGATGTAGTTATTCATACCTGAAACAAATAAACAAAAAAATCCTAAATGATGGTTTTTACATGTATTTTTTCAGATTGGATTTAATTTCGGATGAGATTGTTCTTGCAGCAAGATGTTAATAAGACAAAATCTAGGTAAGTAGAAGACTACTTTAAATATTACATATTGAAGTAGAAATAACATAAAACATTTATGTTTTAAAAATATATCTTCAAAAGTCCAGAATTAATGGAATTTTTAATAAAATTTTGAAATATGAGTTGACTTTGACAAATTGACTTGATCTCATTGATTTGATAGGTGCTAAAAAGCAACCATCAGATTATGGATCTAAATTTTTAGTTTTCCTTCTTTTTTGCATTCAGGGTTTCTAATGCATACAGATTTCCAGTGATTTTCTAACATGTTAGGAAATCAAGTTGGTGTTTGGCTTAGCCACTATGAAGGAACACTTCATCATTCAGTGTAAAATTTGTTGGCTTGCTTCATTGTTCTCTTTGGTTGCTTCCATGAATTTTACTTTGTTATTTCTGTTAATGAAATTCTCCAAGTTGTTACTTCTGTTAATGTTCAGAATTGTAAATTATTCCTTTAATGTTTTTCTTGTGGGCATATTTACTGAAGGACTTTTCTAGAAACGTAGCATTCTGATTAGCTCTCCTAAGACTGTTGACTTTGTAAATTTTGAATTTTGATTATACACTTTTGACCTGGTATGTAAAAGAATGCTTTTTAATAATTTAAGCTCTTGAAATGCTAAAAATTATATTTATCATCAATAAATGAATATGGCTATTGGATATTCAGTGAAAAGAATACATTGATATAATTGCAATTAATTTAGTCTTTGTCTAACTTGCCAAAGATTTGTTGATCTCAATGTTTGCTTAAAAAATGAAAGTCTATAATGAGCCGTGTGCACTGTTGCATGCCTGTAATCTCAGTGATTTGGGAGGCTGAGGCAAGAGGATCTCAAGTTGAGGCCAGCTGCAGCAATTTAGCAAGACTCTCTGCAATATACAGAGACTCTGTGTCAAGGCACTGCTGGAGTCAATCCCTAGTACTAGTGTAATTTCAATCTTTGATTTAATCATAGCAAGTATATTGTTAGTGTAAAGAATACTTACGTGAATCCTATTAAATGCTTCTTATTCTTTATTAATTATTTTAGTAGTACTTATATGGTAGGTACTGCTATGTAGAAAAAGTTTTGGTTAACAGGGTTTTTCTTTTTCTTGAGGAATAATACTCTATTTTTATAGCTTTTATTATAAAGAACACGTGTGTGTGTACGTGTGTGTATTATAATCTTCTTGAAGTAAAGAATAAACCAGACTTGTACTTTAATGTCCAAAAGAGATTTTGTTTGCTAGTTGAATATATGGAGTCTATTAAAACCTTTGTTCTCATTACTTACAAGTTTGATACTGCTTTTGGCATGACACTGGTTTAACTTGTTTGACCTTAATTCGACCATAATTGTGTTCTTTTCTTCTTTATTGTGGTATAACATACATAATATAGTGTAAAATTTACATTTCATCTTATATGTATATTTGCACATATAACCATCATCCAGATCAAAACATAAAAACTTTTATTATCCCAGAAACTTTCCTTTGCTTTCCCTCTTTCCAATCCAGTAGCCTTCCCTTGAGGTAAGCAACCTTTTAAATTTTATTGGTATAGTTAATTTTAGCTGTGCTTAGAATGTATATACATAGAATTACATAGTAAGTACTCTTTTGTATCCGACCTCTGTCATTCACTATGATGTTTTCATTCTTGAGGTGAGTATATGCATAGTTTATAATTTTTATTATTTTTTATTGCTGAGTTCCCCTAGCTATTCATCTTTGGATCATCTATCTTTGCTTGCTTCATTAAAGACTTTGATTCAACTTGTTAAGGAAGTTGCTCTGTTAAAGAACATTAAAAATTTCTTAAGGAGAATTTTAATTCTTAGGTCTTATATTCAAGATTTTCCAAATTCATGTTTTACTTGATTTTTAAGTTTCATCTCCTACTGGTTTTCCTCTTTCTCTTTCTGGTCCCCCGTACCTCCCCCACCCCACCCCAGTGTTGGGAATCAAACCCAGGGTCTCAAGTATGCTAGGTAAGCTCTCTACCGCTAAGCCATTTCCCCAGCCTTTTAAACTGTTTTTTAAAAATAAGCAATTTGTTTCAGTCTAATCACCATTTTTTGAAAATTTTCACCTTTATTCATATCTTTCCATTTGTGTTATCTCTGCTCTTGAAATTTAACTCATCTAAGAAAACTCTGCTTAAATTCTGCCTCTGCCTTGAGGTAACATAGTACCTGCTGTATGGGAGAGAAAAKATTTCTTTTTTCACTCATCACTAGGTTTATAGTGGAGAACCCTTTAACAAAAGACAAGTTAATGAGACAAGCAGACACATTTTTAACGTGGAAGTCTTCAGGAATGAAGACTAAAAGAAACAGAAAAAAACTATTTTTATGGAAAACCTGCAAAAGTATGATTAATGGGAATTCTTATTGTCATCTCTATGGGACATTCCTTCCTTCCCTATAGGGCAAGATACCTATCACATAAGGCACAAGGCTTTTTAGGGGGGAAAGGAAAGAGAATGTCAAAGAGTGAGATATGGCCTGCCTTGCATTTTTCTTAAATGCCAAGATGCCATATTTCCTGTCCCTCATTCATTGGGAAGTCACTTTCTGTCATTATCTATGGTGCTTGGAAACTAAACTACCTTTAGCTGAATGACTTTAAAACATAGCAAGAAAATGAGATACCGAATATTGACATCTCCCAGAACACCCTCCAAAATTGACAAGCTCTTACATTTTTTGATTGATTAAAAAAAAATCATGATAACCTTATTTTTATGTTTTAAAATAGAAGTTTCTGTAGTGTTTGCTGTTGCTGTGCTTGACAAACTCTGAAATATTTTATTTTCCTAATTTATTAAAAGCAAACCCATGATAAACTCAAGCTTATTTTTAACGTTTATATAGTGCTTGCTATATGCCAGGAATTATTATGAGTACTTTACAAATATTAATCCAGTCCTTGCTTTGTAGATATAAATCTGAGATATAATGAAATTAGCAGTAAAAGGGCTAGGATTTGAATCACATAGTCTAGCTTCAGAATCTGAGCTTTTAAAGAATATTGTTTCTTTTGCTGTGCCAGAAGCCTTTTAATTTGATGTAATCTCATTTGTCAGTTCTTGCTTTTATTTCCTGAGTTACSTGAGTTCTATTCAGGAAGTTATTGCCTGTGTCAATATCTTGAAGTATTTCTCCTAATAGATTAAAAAGTCAAAGGGTTCAGGTCTTTTTTTTTTTTTTATTGTTGGCTGTTCAAAACATTACATAGTTCTTGATATATCATATTTCACAGTTTGATTCAAGTGGGTTATGAACTCCCATTTTTACCCCGTATACAGATTGCAGAATTCCATCAGTTACACTTCCATTGATTTACACATTGCCATTCTAGTGTCTGTTGTATTCTGCTGCCTTTCCTATCCTCTACTATCCCCCCTCCCCTCCCCTCCCTTCCCCTCTTCTCTCTCTACCCCCTCTACTATGATTCATTTCTCCCACTTGTATTATTTTTCCCTTTCCTCTCACTTCCTCTTGTAATTTTGTGTAACCCTGAGGGTCTCCTTCCATTTCCATGCAATTTCCCTTCTCTCTCCCTTTCCCTCCCACCTCTCGTCCCTGTTTAATGTTAATCTCTTTCTCATGCTCTTCCTCCCTGCTCTGTTTTTAGTTGCTCTCCTTATATCAAAGAAGATATTTGGCATTTGTTTTTTAGGGATTGTCTAGCTTCACTTAGCATAATCTGCTCTAATGCCATCCATTTCCCTGCAAATTCCATGATTTTGTCATTTTTAGTGCTGACTAATATGCCATTGTGTATAAATGCCACATTTTTTTAATCCATTTATCTATTGAAGGGCATCTAAGTTGGTTCCACAGTCTAACTATTGTGAATTGTGCTGCTATGAACATNTTTTGTATCCGACCTCTGTCATTCACTATGATGTTTTCATTCTTGAGGTGAGTATATGCATAGTTTATAATTTTTATTATTTTTTATTGCTGAGTAATACTACATCATATGAATATACTATAAATATTTATATTCTGCCTATAATTTTGTTTATTGAATTTTCCAAATCTCTGGTTTCACTTGCCAACTTTTCTATGCTACTTTCTTCCTCTGTCTCTTTTATTGTTTCCTATCACCTGCAGAATAAAATGTAAGCTCTATACCATGGCATGCAATTATTTCACTATAGCTATGCCCACATGCCTAGAATTAGATGAATAAACTAAGTATGATATTTCATACTTCTGTACTCTAAGTATAAGTTGTCACATCTCCCCCCACCCCGCCCTCCTCCACCTCAATTGCTAATACCTCTTCTCTTGGCTGTCAGGTTTTTTCTCAAATATTCTGTTTCAAGAATCATCTCATGAGCTTTGGTGTAGGCCTGGCCATATTGCAGTAGGTTGTCTTCTTTATTAAACTGTGAGCTCTTTAAAGGTAGACACCACTCATGTCTCATTTATTTTAAAAATGCAGTGCCTGGTATACTGTATATACTAAGTGCATATTAATAGATTAGTCACATATAAGTACTATACACTAACTTATGGTGTCACCAGAGCTCTGAGATTGGTACATATGTAAGAAGGGAAGTTACGCATTTTCTAATAGGTGAAAAATGATGGAGGAAGAAATTGAAGAGCCATAGTCAAGAACTTTGATAGCATTTTTGATTCCTATAGCTTAGGAAGCTAGCTGCTGAAAAAAATTTTGGAAAATTTTGTATTATCATCATAGATATGTAATGTAATATTTATAAAAATATACTCTCTTCAGAAATGAAGCATTTTAAAATTGTTAAAGCATTTTGACTGGTGATGTCATTCTGTATTTGAAATTTGGCTAGTTGGATTAGTAGACACCTGGGGTTTTTATGACTGAAGCTTGATTGTCCTCTAGTAAGTCCAAAACAAGGAGAGGTTCTTCCCCTTGATGTGGGATCAGTTTGTCATTTTTCCTTGATGTGGCTTCTGCTATGGCAGTTGAACACAGAGTTGGAGATTGACCTCCATCTCTTGCTGTTCATT